GGAGGGTGACAGACAGGGGTTCCCCAGATGGGGGAATGCTGAGGGGCTGGAAAATGACAACTGCCCACCAGAATACTGTCCAACCAGATAAACACCAAAGTACAGAAATGAGTATAAAATTTCCCTGGAATCCACCTCCCTGTGGTGACCGTCATTAACATTTTGATGTCAGCCTTCTAGGTATCATTTTAAGTCAATCTGCCATGGCAGGTAGATTCATTCATTCATTCATTCATCAAGTATTTGTGGATGGCTCAATCCATGCCAGGCCTTGTGGTGGCCAGAGGGGCCGTGGCTCTGAGTAAAATGGACGTTTATCCCCCGTAGGGGATTCAAAAAGCAGGCAAAACAATGAGGAGGTCCACAGGAGAGGGTCATGGAAAGTATGGGTGCAAACAAAAGGCCCAAGCCAGGCTTCATGGAAGAGATGACACTTGGGCTGAGACCTAAGGAATGTTACCCTAGCAAGGAGGAGCTGGGACAAGTCATTCCTGGTCAAGGGAATGGCAGATGTGCAAGCCCTGTGGCATGTTGGTGGTGGTGATTTCAAGGAAGAAGAAGGAAGAGGGGGAGCTGGAGTGTTGAGGAGAAGAGGGAGAATAAGGTAAAACATGAGAAGATGGCAGAGACCCAACCGTGTGGGGCCTCGTGGGCTGTTGTCAGTGTTTCGGGCTTACATGTGAGCATGAGCTCTGGTGCCACAAGACCTGGGTTCAAATCCAACTTTTCCACAGAGCTGGTTGACTTAAAGCAAGTTACCTAACCACCTATGCCTCAGTCTTCTCATCTGTAAAGTAGGGTCAGTAAGTAGTCTTACTCCATAAGACTGTTAAGAGGATGAAATGATGTAATAAAGTGCTGTGCTTAGGACAGCACTTGGTCTACAGAAAGTGCTCATAAATGGTAGCTCATATACTGTTGAAGTCATTTGCAGATGAAGTGCCTATGTGTAAATGATTTTACATAAATAGGGTCGTATTTGTCCTGTTTATCACTACTTTTCCACTTAATGCTGGCCATCTTTCTGAGTCAATGACTACAGAGTATTATTACAGTTAAAATGTTTGTATGGGGGTGTCACATGTGTTGTAGACTGCACTAATTTTAAGTGTAGTGTATAGCTCGATTTGTGCATATATATATGTGTGTATATATATATATATATATTATCATGCCTATAGGCACCACTCAGATCAGGATATAGGAAATTTCCAACTCCCCCAGAAGCTTCTGTCATGCCTTTTCCCAGTTAATTCCCTATCCCTCACCCCTAGAGGTAACCAATGTTCCAACTTGTCAAATAGCTTAGTTTTGCTTATTCTGGACCTTCATATAAATGGCATCATTCAGGATGTCTTTTTTGTGTCTGGTTTCTTTTGCTCATCATTAATTGCGAAGTACAGCCATTCATTGTGTGGGCTGGTAGTTTATTCTTTCCTATCACTGCCTAGTCTTCCACTGAGTGAATATCTTATACTGTATTCATCCTATTGTTGATAGATATTTGGATTTTCTGGTTTTTTACTATATGGATAGTATGGCTTTGGACTTTCGTATACATGTGTTTTGGGGAACTTATGAAGTGTATACCCAGGAGTGGAGTTTATGGGTCATAGAGGATGGAATCTTCAGCTTTCGTAGATCCTGCCAGATAGTCTTCTGAAGTGGTTGTACCAGTTTGCATTCCCACCAGCAGAGTCTGAGAGCTCCAGTTGCTCCACATCCTCACAGCATGCTGACTATAAGTCATTTCTAATAGCTGCAGGGAATTCCGTGACACAGTCAGACCATCTTGAATGTGCTCCTAAATGGTGGACATTGAGGTTGTTGCCAACATTTACATGATTTTTTAAAAATTAAAAAACAAACATAAGGCAATAAAATTAAAAATTAAATAATGGAAGCAATGAAGATGTCCTTCAGTGGATGAATGGATAAACAACTTGTGGTACATTCATTTAATGGAATATTCTTCAGCAATAAAAAGAAGTGAACTATCAAGCCACAGAAAGTCATGAAGGAGTTTTAAACACAATTACTAAGTAAAAGAAGCCAGTCTGAAAACATTACATACTGTCTGATTCCAAGTATATGGCTTTCCGGAAAAGTAGAACTATAGAGACAGTTAAAAGATCAGTGGTTGCCAGGGACCTCAGGGGATGAGTGTAGGAGAGAGGAATGGAGTACAAAGGATTTTAGGGCAGTAAAATTCTTCTGTGTGATACTGAAGTGGTAGATACATGACATTATACACTTGTCAGAACTCATAGAACTTTACAAAGAATGAATCCTATTGTAAACTTTGGACTTTAGTTAATAATAGCATATCAGTATTGGTTCATCAGTTGTAACAAATGTATCACACTAATATTAGCAAGATATTAATAATAGGGGAAACTGTAAGGGGGAAGGAGAAGAGATATACTGGAACTCTGTACTTTCTGATAAGTTTTTCTGTAAACCTAAAATTGCTCTAAAAAATAAAGCCTATTAATTAAAAAAAAGTATAAAGTTAAAGTGTGAAGGTATTAAAAAGGAAAGAGATGGAAACAAAATTCACTAGCTGTGTACTATCAGCTGTTCTCTGTGGAGATGATTTTCTTTCTCACAGTGGGGATGACATTCTAAAACACTTTGTGTTTCACTCCTGTTCCCTCCCTCCCTGCTCATTCTTGTGGTGGAAGCATATTCCCATATTACTTAAAACTCTTCCTAAACATCTTGTATAGTGGTTCCTTAAAGCAGGAGGCAATTTAAATTCTGATGATAAAATAAAATAGGAGACGTGTTTGGAGGAAAAAAATGGAAGTTGATAAAGTGATAGAATCATGGAAGCTCAGATTATGGGTGTTACATGTTAGGAGAAATGATTTAGAATTATAGCATCCTTCTTGGTACCAATGCATCTCAGAATTTCTGTACAGTTATCTTCACATGACAGAATGAGGTGTGTTTACATTCTGGAAATAAATGATTATGGATATTTGAACAGATGAGACTTAACATTTCAAGACTCATAGAATTTTAGAACCTCTAGGTTGAAAAAAACCAAACTACTCTAGTTTATTTTTTCCAGTTTAACTTTGATTTATTTTCCTTTTTAAAAACAGCTTTTATTGAGGTATAATCATCTACAATAAATCACACATATTTCAATTATTCAAATTGAAAGGTTTTGATAAATATATACACCTAATAAACCGTCACCACAATCAAGATGAAGAGAATACCCATCACCTCCAAAAGGTTTTCCTGGCTCTTTGTAATCCTTCCTCTTGCTCCTCTCCTACCCCTTCCCACCTTCCCAGTCTACTCTTGCCCCTCCTGTCCCCAGGCAAGCATTCATTTGTGTTTCCTAGAATTCTCCGTAAATGGAACCATACATACTCCTTGTTTGACTTCTTTCACTCAGCACAATTATTTGGAGATTCATTCATGTTGTAGCATGGATATCTGTAGCTCATTCTTTTTTGTGGCTGAATAGTATTCCATTGTATGTTTATTCATTTACTTGTTGATGCACATTTGGATTTGTTTCCAGTTTAGAGCTATTACAAATAAAGTTTCTATGAATGTCTGTGTACAAGTCTTTGTATGAACATATGCTCTTATTGGATAAACACCTAGGAGAAAAGTGATTGGACAATATGATATGTGTATATTTAACTTTTTAAGAAATTGCCAATGTTTTATAAAGTGGGTGTACCATTTCACATTCTCACTAGCAGTGTATGAAAGTTCTGTTTCCTCCATATCTTCGTCAACACTTGGCATAGTCAGTCCTTCTAATTTTAAGCATTCTAATAGGTGTGATATCTCATTGTGGTGTTAATTTGCAATTCCTTAATGACTAATGATGAACATCTTTTCACGTGTTTGTTTGCCATTTGTATATTTTCTTTGGTGAAGTGTCTCTTCAAATCTTTTGCCCATTTTTAAATTGGGTTGTTTGTTTTCTTACTGAGTTTTGAGGGCTTTTTTGTATTCTGGATATAAGTCCTATAAAGGATATATGTTTTGCAAATATTTCCCTCCAGTCTGTGGCTTGTCTTTTCATTTCCTTAATAGTGTCTTTCAAAGCACAGACATTTTAAATTGTGATGAATTCCAATTCATAAATTTGTTATTTTATGGGTTGTGTTTGGTGTTATCATATCTAAGGAATCTTTAACCCAAGATCATAAAGTCTGTTTTCTTTTTGAAAGAAAATTTGTGTTTTCATATTTTGAACTATGATCCATTTTCAGTTAATTTTTATACATAGTATGAGTTATGGATTAAATTTCACTTTTTGCTTATAAGTATCTAATCATTCCAGCACCATTTGTTGATGAAACTCTCCTGGCTCTGCTGCATTGTCTGTGCTCCTTCATCAAAAATCAGTTGTACATATGTATGTGTGGGTCTGTTTCTGAACTCTCTCTTCTGCTCCATTAATCTGTCTATCTTTATGCCAGTATCACACCTGTTTTAAAATCAGGTCCTCCAGCTTTGTTCTCCTTTTTCAAAGTTGTTTTTGATTATTGTAGGTCCTTTGCATTTCCACATGAATTTTAGAATTAGTTTATCTATTTCTACAAAAGTGCCTGTTGAGATTTTGATGAGGATTGATTTGAATAAATAGATCAATTTGGGGTGAATGAATGTCTTATCAATATTAAGTCTTCTGATCCGTGGGCAAGCAATCTCAATTTATTTGGGTGGTTTTTTAAACTTAGCAATAATTTTGTATCCCACATCCAAGTCTTTCATCTCTTTTGTCATATTTATTCCCAAGTATTTCCTTTTTTGATGCTCTTATAAATGGTGTTTGAAATTTTTAAATTTCTGATTGTATCTTGTATATAGAAATAAAATTGATTTTTATATTCAGCTTGTATAACTTGGTGAACTTGCTTATAAGCATTTTTATAATTTTTTGTGTGGGGGTTCTATTGGATTTTCTATATAGGTGAGAATGTCACTTGCAAATAAAGATAGTTTTATTTCTTTCTTTCCAGGCAATGCCTTTTGCTCATTTTCTTACCTAATTACCCTGGCTGGAACCTCCAAAGCAAGGTTGAATAGAATTGGTGAGTGTGGACATCCTTATATTGTTCTTGATCTTAGAAGGAAAGCTTTCAGTCTTTCACACTGAATATGATCTTAGCTGTGGGGTTTTTGTAGATGCCCTTATCTAGTTGAGGAAGCTCTATTTGTGGTTGCCTGAGAATCTTAAAAATCAGGAATGGATGTTGGATTTTGTCAAATGCTTTTTCTGTGTCTTTTGAGATGATCACATGGTGGTTCTCTTTTAGTCTGTTATTATAATTATATTGATTAATTTTCAGATGTTAAATAACCCTGCACTAGGATGAGCCTCCTTTGGCCTTTTAATATATTGTCAAATTAGATTTGATAAAAATTTTTTAAGGATTTTTGCATCTATGTTCATAAGGGATATTGGTCTATAGTTTTCATTTATTGTATTGAATTTGTCTGGTTTTGGTGTCAAGGCCCCTTAAAGTAAGGTGGGAAGTGTTTATTTCTCTTTAGTGTTTTATAGAGGAGTCTGTGTAGAATCAGTATCATTTCTTCAAATATTTGGTAGAATCACCAGTGATGCCATCTGAGCTATGGGGAAGTTTTATCTACAAATTTATTTTTAAAATAAACACAAGACTGTATGGGTTATCCATATCTTCTTGCATGAGGTTTGGTAATTTGCCTTCAATAAATGTACCCATTTCATCTAAGTTGTCAAATTTATTGGAGTAAAGTTGTTCATGATACTCCTGTTATCCCTCTTAATAGCTTTATTCAGATATAATTTACATACCATACAATTTGCCTATGTAAAGTGTACACATAGATGATTTTACTTATCATTGTACACAGTTGTATGATCATAACCACATCAATTTTAGAACATTTTCATTACCCCCCCAAAAAAACCTCTATAATTATTAGCAGCCACTCCCTTTCTCCCCCTATTCAGCCCTCATCGACCACTAATCTATTTTCTATCTCTATGATTTGCTTATTCTGTACATTTCATATAAATGGAATCATACAATATATAGACTTGTGACTCTTTTTTTCACTTAACGTCATGCTTCCAAGGTTCATACAAGCTCTCATATGTAACAGTATTTCATTCCTTTTCATTGCCAAATGGTTTTCCATTGTATTTATCCATATTTTACCTATCCATTCATCAATTCATGGACATTGGGTTGTATACCCTTTTTGGCTATTATGAACAAAGCTGCTTGCTATGAGCATTGTATACAAATTCTTGTGTGGATATTTGTTTTCATTTTTCTTGGATATATATCTAGAAGTGGAATCACTGGTTCACATGTCTGTGTTTAACCTTCTGAAACACTGCCAGTCTGTTTTCCAAAGTGGCTATACCATTTTACATTTCCACAGCAGCATATGAGGGTTCCAATTTTTACATATTCTTATCAACATTTGTTAGTGTCAGTCTTTCTAATTATAGCCATCCTAGTGGATGTCTTGATTTGCATTTCCCTGATGGCTAATGAGGTTAAGCATCTTTTCGTGTGTTTATTGACCATTTGTATATCTTCTTTCTAGAATTGTCATTTCAAATCATTTGCCAACTTTTAAATTAGGCTACTTACCTTTTTATTATTGAATTGTAAGAGTTCTTTATATATTTTGGATACAAGTCTATTATCAGATATATAATTTGCAAAGATTTTATCCCATTCTATGGGTTGTCTTTTCACATTTTTGATAATGCCCTTTATAGTCCAAAAATGGTGTCCTCTTATAGCCCTTTAAAATTTTGAAGTCTAATTCATCAATTTTTTTCTTTTGGTGTATATGCTTTTGGTGCCATGTCTAGCAAACCATGCCTAATTAAGGTTATTGTTACTTATACCTGTGTTTTCTTCTAAGAACTTAGTAGTTTTAGCTATTAGATTGAGGTGTTTGATCCATTCTGAGCAAATTTTTTGTACATGGCATGAAGTAGTGGTCCAACTTCCTTCTTTTGCGTGTGCGTATTCAGTTGTGCCGTCACCATTTGTTGAGAGGACAATTCTTTCCTCATTTAATGGTCTTGGCATCCTTGTTGAAAATCAACTGACCATAAATCTTAGGAATATTTTCTTCTGGACTCCCAAATTCTGTTTCGTTGAGCTATCCTTACGACCATACCACACTGACTTGATTGCTATAGCTTTGCAATGAACCTTATTATCCTTTTATTATCTGTATAATCTATAGTGACATTACCGCTTTCATTCCTGATATTGGTAATTTGTATCTTTGCCCTCTTTTTATACTTTATACATAAAATTTGTTATAAAATCTCTTTTACATTTTATTTTTTTGATCATTCTTTCTAGAGATTTATCAATTTTATTGATCTCCTCTAAGAATCAGCCTTTGGTGTAACTGATTTTTCTCTATTGCTGTTTTGTCTTCTTTATTGGTTTCTATTCTGTTCTTTATTATTTCCTTTCTCTTAGTTAATTTAGTTTAATTTGTTCTTTTAATTTTTTAAGATGAAAGCTGAGGTCACTGATTTGAAACCAGGTATTCAAATATAGGTATTGAGTGCTATGAAGTGTCCCTTAAATACTGCTTAGTAGTACCCCCCACAAATTTTATATTGTCGTTTTTTCATGTTCATTGAGTTCTAAATATTTTTTGACTTCCTTTTGATTTTCCTTTGACCCATGGGTTATTTAGAAGTGTGTTATTTCATTTCCAAATATTTGGAGATTTTCCAGGGATTTTTCTGTTACTGATTTTTATTATAATTGCATTGTGATCATAGAACATATTTTTTATTACTTGAACCTCTTTAAACATATTGAGACTTGTTTAATGGCCTAGAATATGGTCTGTTTTCATAAATGTTCCATGAACAGAATATGTACTCTGCTATTACTGGGTGGCGTGTTCTATAAATGTCAGTTAGGTCAAGTTGGTTGATCGTGTTTCCTTATTTATTTTCTATTTACTTGTTCTATCAATTATTAAAAGAGGGATATAGAAATCCCTGACTATAACTAGGGATTTGTCTATTTCTCCTTTCATTTCTATCATTTTTTGTAGCTTTGTTATTAAATGCATAAATATTTGGGATTATTGTCCCTCTTGATGGACTGACCTCTTTATCATTATGAAATGACTTTTTTACCCCCCAAAACATACTTTTTCTGATGTTAATATAGTCCTCCAGTTTTCTACTTATAAGTGCTAAAGAGAACTTTTTACTTTAAATTTTTACTTTCAACCCATTTGTGTTTTTATATTTGAAGTCCATTTCTTATACACAGCATGTAAATGGGTCTGTTTTTTATCTGGTCTGAAAATCTGTCTTTTAGTTGGGGCATTTAAACCATTTACATTTAATGTGATTGTTAATATGGTTATGTTTAAATCTTTTATCATGCTATTTGTTTTCTATTTGTCCTATCTATTCTTTTTTTCCCATTATCTCTTTTCTACCTTCTTTAGGATTAATTAAATGTTCTTGTGATTCTATATCTCCCTTGTTGATTATTAGTTATAGCTCTTTGTTTTTTTAATTTAGTGATTTCTGTATGGTTTTTTAGTATACATCTAACTTATCACTTTGAAGTGATATTCTATCACTTCATGTATAATATGTTACATTCTTATCTGGGTGACACTTCATGAGTGTGTACACATGTCAAAATTCATCAAGCTGTATTTTATTCTATGACCTCAATAAAAAAGAAAAAGAATTATAAAAAAGAATATTACATTCTTGTGCAATTATTATGCATTTTAATATTACACATTATAAACACAACACTACATTGTAATTATTTTTGTTAAAAGTTACTTTTTAAAGAGATTTAAATGATGAAAAAAATACTATATATTTACTCATATAGTTACCTTTTCCAGAGTTCTTCATTTCTTTTTTGTAGGTCCGTAGTTCTCTCTGGTATGGTTTTCCTTCAGCATGAAGGACTTTAACATACATTGTAGTGTGGTTCTGCTGGTGATGAATTCTTTCAACTTTTCTATATCTGAAAAAGTCTTTATTTTAACCTCAATTTTTGAAAGTTATTTTTGCTGGATATAGAATTCTAAGTTGACAGATTCTTCTTTCAGTACTTTAAAGATGATGTTGTCTTCTTGCTTGCATTGACAAGAAATCTGCTATCATTCTTATCTTTGTTCCTCAGTATGTAAACTGGGTTTTTTTTTTTTGACTCCTTATAAGATTTTGTCTTTATCACTGATTTTGAATACTTTGATTATGATTCACCTTGGTGTAGTTTCCATATTTCTTGTCCTTGGCTTCATTGAATTTCTTGAATCTGAAGGTTTATAATTTATAATTTTTCACACAGCCGAGTGAGACTCAGGGACAGAGAGGAAGTGCTAGGGCTAAAATCTTGGTGGAGGCCACTCCTGATTCAGTTTCCTTATCTACCAGGTAGACCAAGAGATACCTGCATTCCAGGACATCCTATTTCCCAGGTCAGATTTGCTTCTAAGGTCAGAGTATGCAGTGACAGAGTGGCCAAGGGGTCAGGTGACTAAGTATGACCCTTAACTTGATGACTCAGCTACTTCTAGGTACCTCCTGAGCTGCAACATGGGGCAACAGCTCTGGCCATCCAGAGAGGCTAAAAACACACAGTGAAATTAAAGAAATCAGAAACAGAAATGATACATGTTTTTATATCAAACTGGCAGATCTTTTAAAAATATAGTTCAACATGCATAAGAGTATAGGGAAACAGGCCTTTCTAAACTTTGTTGGCAAGGGCATAAATCAGAACCCCTCTTTTTTAGGGCAGGTTGATTACAGAATTACCACAAAGCTTAGAATTTTGCATATACTTGACCTAGCAATTCCAGCTCTAGGAAGTTATCATAAGGGAACAGATGAGATTATTAGAGCCAAAAGATGTGTGAACCTTGCTTTACCAATGACCAGCTGTGTGACCCTGAACAAGTTACTTTACCTACCTGAACCTCTGCTTGCTTATCTGTAAAATAAGGATTTTAATCTATATATTATCGCATAGTTGTAGTGAGGATGAAATGAGGTAATGAGTGCAAGATACTCAGCACAGGACCAAGCACAAAGCAAACCTTTTGCTGCTGGGGGATGTCTTGACGGTAATTGTATATAGAAAATAAAGCCTAGAAGGATGTGCACCAAAATATCAGAAGTGGTTGTCTCTGGGAAAGGAATAATTTTATTTTCCAAATTCTTTTCTGTTTTATTCAGTGAACATATATTGCTCTTATAATAAGAAAATAAGGATAATGGGTAATACACAATGTGTGTCATTCTTCCAGAGCCTCACCTTTGAAGGCAGTGAGAAGCCTGATGGGCCAGAGGTGGGGGCAGCAGGGCTGGAGAAGGGCCAGGTGACCCAATACCCTCGCCTCTGAGGCCAGAGCCTGGGTTAGAATCCAAATGGAGGCCATGGATGGAAGTGGTAGAGAATATAGGTTCTAGGGTCACCATGTGACCTCAGCCAAGGACCTTTATCTCTCTGTGCTTCCGTTTCCTCATCTATAAAATAGGCATATAGTGGAACCTACCTCATAGGGTTGTTGAGGCTTCAGTGACTTTTTTGTTTTTAGTCCAGTGCCCAGTGAACAGTAAAAAATTTAGCTATTTATTGTCACATTATGATTATAGTCACCTGTCATGCCTCTAAGGCCGGCAGTGAGGAGAGGGGACTGGCCAGTCCAAAGTTGGGTGCCATCTGCTTCACAAGATGGGGCATGATGTGAGGCAGCTCAATCCAGCTGGGAGCCCTGAGCAGGCCACCCCATCTCTCTGGGCCTCATATATCCCCGCTCAGCAGTAGGGACATTAATTTCCACCCTGTGAAGAGTCAGTGGGTTCCCATGTTCAGGGCCTGCACAGCACAGGCATCTAGTATCTGTTCCCTTCCCTTTGTGGATGCCCCATGGTGTCAGGGAGCGGGGTGAAGAGCTGGAGAGGCCATGTGGCTGGGCTGGGCTGGGGTCAGGTGCCCCAGCCGCCCAAAGGCCATGCCTTAAGCCCCAAATGCCCCTCCTCCTGCTCCCTGATGGCCGTGGAGGCAACAGGAACAACACTGGGACATTAATCCACATCATTAACTCACTTTGCTCCAGAGTGTAGCAATTAGACCTGCCATCCTGCAGCATTAGGAGCTGGGCAAAGGTCACCCAGGCTGCTGGCCTCCTCCTGCCCAACCTCTGCCGGGCACTCGCTCTATCCCGGAGGAGAGGGGCCAGAGTGGGGGGAATTCTCTGGCAGCAGAGTCCCTTGGTTTCTGTTCACTCACTCCCGGTCTTCAACAGATATTTACTGAGCACCTTCTATGTGCCAAAGAGGCTGTACCTGCTGCGTTTAGGTGTGGCTGGAAAAAGAGTTGGGGGCCAGTAGCAGGAGATAAGGTCATAGAAACAAGAAGAGCATTCAGCTGTAGGAAGGACTTGGGCTTTTCCCTGAGGCAGGCCAGACTCACTGGAGAGTTTGGAGAAAGAAGGGGATGTGATCAGATTTGCATTTCTTGAGCCTTTTCATCTGGAGAAGGGGCTCCATGGGGAGGCTGCAGAGGAGGAGACCGGCCCGGGAGGAGTGCAGTTGGCTTGGGCACAAGGCATGTATGCATCAGGGGCCACACAGGGCCAAAGGTTCAAATCCTTCCAGTGAGTCCTTCCCAGCCTTGAGCCTTATCTTCTTCACCAAGAAATGGGCTGATCTCCAAGGCCCCTCTTTCTGAGGCCTGCAGCCTTTTGCCTGTCCTGACCAGGCCTTTCCCCACACCCCCCAAGGCCTCAGCCACGGAGAGGGGCCAAAGCTGACATGGTCGTGAACCTCAAGGGCTAACATTTGCTTTGTATGGTGTTGATGAGAGGTTTGCATATGTCTTAGCTCATTTCATTCTCACAGCACCCATGAGAGGTAAATAGAATTCTTTCCATTTCACTGATGAGGGAACTGGGGTACAGAGATGATGTTTCTTGCCCAAGGGCATAGAGCTAGTGGCAGACAGAGCAAGGACTTGAGCCCAGGTTGGATGAATTGCCCCAACAGTGCCTCCCCCCCTGGGATTCCATGCAGTAAGCACCAGCGAGTACTGGGTGCCTGCTGTATACCAGGTGCCATGTTGGTGCATCATTTTGTACCATTCTGTCCCTGGCAGCCCCAAGAGAGAGTGCTCCTATTTCACAGGTAAGAAAATGGAGGCTCCACGGGCATGGAGATGCCCAAGGGCAGAGCTGGACCTCCTGGGTCCCTCCAGCACTTCCTCTCCCACCCCAGGCCCCCACCAGTCAAGGCCGCCCAGAGCTGATGACCTCAATTTCCCAAGGTAAAGCAGTGTGTTAGCATCTCAAAGAACCCTCTCTGCCTGTACCATGTATATTCATGGAGCTGCAAAGAGGAAGCTCCAGACAGGAGACTCTTTCTTTCCTTCCAAGAGCAAATTCTCACCCTCTCAGATGCAGGAAATGTAGTCTGGCTGGAAAAAGATTTAATTTCTTTTTCTTTTTTTTTTACTAGTTAGTGACAGAAAGCTGCCACGTCTGGCTCTGACAACTGAACATGGTTGGTTCAGGCTCTGCCTGGCTAGTTGGAGAAGTCGGGGAGCCTTCAGAGCCACTGGCCTTTCAGCATCCTCCTCCCCCATCTGGTCTCACTTTGGAGTCACAGAGGCAGGGGGTAGAGTTCAGAGGGGCCTGGGCAGGGGACAGCCTGTGCACCCTGCTTCAAATACAGCACTTCTCCCTGAATTTGTGTATGTTTGAAATTTTCATAAGAGTTAATAAAGGGGTTTTAAAACTAAAAATATAAAACACTCTGCAGGCTGGTATTCCTGGGGGTCAGAGCCACCCCCTCCTGGGTATGATATCCCAAACCCTCATAGTCCGGCTTCTATAGCGCTGCAGCTACAGTCTCTACTCCCCAAGCTCTGTGCTCCCCAAGCTCCTCACTCCATCCTTTGCACATGTTTTCCCCTCATGCCTCCTGGATTCCTGTTTCATTATTGAAGACTTAGTTCCAGTGTCACCTCCTCTTGGAAGCCTTCCCTGATACCTTCAGGCAATCACACCTGCCCCTCTCTCCCTTGCCCATCTTCCCTGACCAAAAGCCCCCAACCAGTGCAAAAACATTGCTTTAGGCACTATGCTCTGTTCTTTACCCAGGGTATGGCTTTGACTCCTCGTGGGACAGTCCTATGAGGCAGAATTATCCCACATGTTCATGAGGAAACTGAGGCTCAGAAAGGTGAGATCACCCAAGGTGAGTGGTAGGGTGACGATGCAAATGAGTGTGTGGCTGTGTGGCCTACCCCCAAATTGCTTTGGCCCTGCTCTGCACATCACAGCACTTTGTAGCCTTGCTGCTGGCCTGGGGGCCTCCCAGGGATTGTCCGCAGGCTCTGGGTCCTGTGTGGCCAACTCAAGGCTGGTACTGAGGAAGCACTGACAGGTGTCTGCCAAATGGATGAAAACCTAGATCCAAAATCTTGGAGACTGTCTCCCCTGGTCCCTGCCGTTGTAGAGTGAAGGCAAAGGCTTGGAAGTCTCCGGGAACCTGCCTGTAGAGGCCTTGGGATCAGAAAACTCAGGGAGACTGGATGCCACTGCCCCCACCTGCCCACAGGGATGACCAGGTATTTGGGGAGCACTGGCTCCTTGGACTGCAGGGAGGGCAGGCAGTGCTCTGTGCACAGCAGCGGGGGCCTGTCTGCTGGATGGCTCAGGCACAGCGCTAGGTGCTGTGCACACAGTGGTGAACAAGCCAGACTCCGTCTGGGCCCTCACGGCTTTCGTAGGAGGGGCTGAGAGTGGACAGACAAGACATCAGTGGAAATGCTGCAACAGGGAAGAGAATGACAGGAGGGCCTGGGGGAAAGTATCAGGCTTTGTGGGAGGTGTTCCTGAGGCTGAGCTCCAGTGGGCGAGAGGGAGCCAGGCGGCAGGGTGTGGGCCGCAGGGTCTCCCAGGCTGGCTGTGCAAAGGCTCTGAGGCAGGGACAATCTGGGCTTACTCAGGAAACAATGAGAGGAGGTGTCAGTCAAAGGCCAGGAGGAGGGGAGTGTTCTAGAGGAGGTGGGGAGCCATTGGCAGGATGTGTGGGGTGGCAGCAGAGGTAGGGTTTGGATTGAGAGCAGTTTGCGGGGACCCAGATGAACGTGGAGACCCCATGTAAGAGGCTGGGGTGGTTTTCAGGGGCGATAAAAATGGATTGAATCAGGACAGGGGCCGGGCCAATTAGATTTTAGTGGCAGGGCCCACTGGCTTTTGTACTGGGCTGGCTGAGGGGAGAGATGGGACATCTGGCCGGGCCCTGGAGGTGGGAGATGCTGGCTCCAGGAGAGAGGGCGAAGGCACATGGCGAAAGCCCTCCTCATGGGGATCCCAGAGTGCTTGGAGGCCCTGGGTTCCTGGCGCAGGGTGGCCCCTCCCTCTGAGGCCAGCCCTTCCCAGGCAGTGTCTGGGACCGACAGGTCTACTGGAGGTGAAAATCACACCTCCTGCCTGTGCCCCAAATTACCCCCTGGGGGTGGGAGAGCACCAGGTGCCCATTTTAATTCTCTGCCAGTCATACTGTTTTATTGTTCCTATTTGGGGTTTTATTATTATTGCTGCTAATGGTTTGAAAAGGCCTTTTAATTAAAGCTGCAGGTTGGAGCTGCCACCTGAGCTCCTGGGAGGGGTGGGAGGAGGCCTTGCCGAATATTCATTATACCCCTTACAGAGCCAGGGGCTTCTGCGCTGAGGTCTGTGGCCCCTTCTGCGGGGAGACAGAGGTGGGAGGCCCTGCCACTGGGACGAAGGCAGCAGCCAGTCAGGCAGCAGCCCTCCTCCTGTGATGCAACCAGAAGATTTTCCCAGAACAGGTCGCGTGACCTCAGTTTCCTGTTCCGAACCATCCGTGGCTGCGTGTGCCCTCCTGCAGGAGGCCGTGGGCCTTGAGGCAGAGAGCTTGTGGCACACATCTGAGTTTGAGCCCTGTCTTTGCTGTTTACTGGCGGCAAGGCCATGGGCAAGTTTACCAGCTCACAGCCTCAGTTTGCTCATCCGTTAAAAGCAAATGCTGGCTTCTTGCCTTGTAAGGGTTGTTAGGAGGAAAAAGAGAAAATCCAGCATTTGGTGCATATTGAACACTGTAAATGGAGGTTATGCTGTGGCTATCAAGGTTGTGAGGATCATATAGCAGGTGCTCGGTAAACATTAGCTGCCCTTACCACTCCTTCCCTCCCTCCTCCTCCTGTCCCAGAATGTACAGGAGACTTGACCTGCTCTTCACCTTTGCACATGCTGTTTTCCCATCTGTGGTGCCTCCTTTTGCCCTTGCCCACCTGGACATCCTTCTAGATGCAGGTGGGCAGTACCTCCCCTGGGAAGCCTTCCCACCTTCTCCCTTGGACCTGGGTTCTCAGAGCTGCCCTAGCATTCTCTCCCAGGGCCTGGTCTCCTGTCTTTAATTGCTGGTTTGCTCCCAGGGGCTGCAAGCTCAGCAGATCAGGTCAAAGAGGAATGTTGTGGAGGGAAGGACTGCGGCCCTTTGAAGGACTCATGTTTCTAAGAGTTGCTCCCACCCTGTGGCTCCCCCCTCACTTTCCACCACCACCCTCCACCGCCTCTGCCCTTTGGAGGGTTTGCCAGTTCAGTCTACATTTATTGAACATCTGTTACGTGTTGCCCTAAGCTACAGGGCATTTCCTCCACTGACTTCTTCCATTTTCATCTTTGTAACCACCTATGACATCTTTTTGTGCGCATTCAACTGATAAGGAGATAAAAGCTACAGAACTGAAGTTTCTCATCCCCAAGGTCACCTGGTTGACAACTGTTGCCACCCCATACTGTGCTCACTCTCTTGACCAATGTTGGCAGCTCCATCAATGCCATGTTTCTGCCTCAGGGCCTTTGCACCTGCTGTTCCTTCTGCCTAGAACTTTTTGTCCCTAGGTACCCACAGAGCTTCCTCCCTCTCTTCATTCAGGCCTGAGTTCAAATGTTACCTTTTCAAAGAGCCCCTGTCCCTCTTATCCTGCTTTGTTTTGCCTCATGTTGATGGCCACATGCTTATATACTATACATTTGTTTGTTTAATTTCTGTCTCTCCTGCTGGATTTCAAGGTCAGCAACCACAGTTGTTTTGCTCATCTTTTATCTCCAGTCCGTAGGACAGTGGCTGGCACACGGTAGCAGTATGCATTGTAGCTGAGTGACTCTCCTGGTTTGCAGGCTCTCCTTTTTCATTATTGAAGACTTAGTTCCAGTGTCACCTCCTCTTGGAAGCCTTCCCTGATACCTTCAGGCAATCACACCTGCCCCTCTCTCCCTTGCCCATCTTCCCTGACCAAAAGCCCCCAACCAGTGCAAAAACATTGCTTTAGGCACTATGCTCTGTTCTTTACCCAGGGTATGGCTTTGACTCCTCGTGGGACAGTCCTATGAGGCAGAATTATCCCACATGTTCATGAGGAAACTGAGGCTCAGAAAGGTGAGATCACCCAAGGTGAGTGGTAGGGTGACGATGCAAATGAGTGTGTGGCTGTGTGGCCTACCCCCAAATTGCTTTGGCCCTGCTCTGCACATCACAGCACTTTGTAGCCTTGCTGCTGGCCTGGGGGCCTCCCAGGGATTGTCCGCAGGCTCTGGGTCCTGTGTGGCCAACTCAAGGCTGGTACTGAGGAAGCACTGACAGGTGTCTGCCAAATGGATGAAAACCTAGATCCAAAATCTTGGAGACTGTCTCCCCTGGTCCCTGCCGTTGTAGAGTGAAGGCAAAGGCTTGGAAGTCTCCGGGAACCTGCCTGTAGAGGCCTTGGGATCAGAAAACTCAGGGAGACTGGATGCCACTGCCCCCACCTGCCCACAGGGATGACCAGGTATTTGGGGAGCACTGGCTCCTTGGACTGCAGGGAGGGCAGGCAGTGCTCTGTGCACAGCAGCGGGGGCCTGTCTGCTGGATGGCTCAGGCACAGCGCTAGGTGCTGTGCACACAGTGGTGAACAAGCCAGACTCCGTCTGGGCCCTCACGGCTTTCGTAGGAGGGGCTGAGAGTGGACAGACAAGACATCAGTGGAAATGCTGCAACAGGGAAGAGAATGACAGGAGGGCCTGGGGGAAAGTATCAGGCTTTGTGGGAGGTGTTCCTGAGGCTGAGCTCCAGTGGGCGAGAGGGAGCCAGGCGGCAGGGTGTGGGCCGCAGGGTCTCCCAGGCTGGCTGTGCAAAGGCTCTGAGGCAGGGACAATCTGGGCTTACTCAGGAAACAATGAGAGGAGGTGTCAGTCAAAGGCCAGGAGGAGGGGAGTGTTCTAGAGGAGGTGGGGAGCCATTGGCAGGATGTGTGGGGTGGCAGCAGAGGTAGGGTTTGGATTGAGAGCAGTTTGCGGGGACCCAGATGAACGTGGAGACCCCATGTAAGAGGCTGGGGTGGTTTTCAGGGGCGATAAAAATGGATTGAATCAGGACAGGGGCCGGGCCAATTAGATTTTAGTGGCAGGGCCCACTGGCTTTTGTACTGGGCTGGCTGAGGGGAGAGATGGGACATCTGGCCGGGCCCTGGAGGTGGGAGATGCTGGCTCCAGGAGAGAGGGCGAAGGCACATGGCGAAAGCCCTCCTCATGGGGATCCCAGAGTGCTTGGAGGCCCTGGGTTCCTGGCGCAGGGTGGCCCCTCCCTCTGAGGCCAGCCCTTCCCAGGCAGTGTCTGGGACCGACAGGTCTACTGGAGGTGAAAATCACACCTCCTGCCTGTGCCCCAAATTACCCCCTGGGGGTGGGAGAGCACCAGGTGCCCATTTTAATTCTCTGCCAGTCATACTGTTTTATTGTTCCTATTTGGGGTTTTATTATTATTGCTGCTAATGGTTTGAAAAGGCCTTTTAATTAAAGCTGCAGGTTGGAGCTGCCACCTGAGCTCCTGGGAGGGGTGGGAGGAGGCCTTGCCGAATATTCATTATACCCCTTACAGAGCCAGGGGCTTCTGCGCTGAGGTCTGTGGCCCCTTCTGCGGGGAGACAGAGGTGGGAGGCCCTGCCACTGGGACGAAGGCAGCAGCCAGTCAGGCAGCAGCCCTCCTCCTGTGATGCAACCAGAAGATTTTCCCAGAACAGGTCGCGTGACCTCAGTTTCCTGTTCCGAACCATCCGTGGCTGCGTGTGCCCTCCTGCAGGAGGCCGTGGGCCTTGAGGCAGAGAGCTTGTGGCACACATCTGAGTTTGAGCCCTGTCTTTGCTGTTTACTGGCGGCAAGGCCTTGGGCAAGTTTACCAGCTCACAG